TTTTTTTTAGCTCATTTCAGCTGTTTTTCAGCAAATTCTTCTGCAAGAAGCGTTCACACTGTATTTTCGCAGGAACCAGTTACTCTTTGGGTTCCAACTTTTTCCTGTGTTTTTTGAACATGAAAAAAATCAGCTTTATCTTTTCAAGGTTTATGAAAGGCAAGAAGAATATATGCTTTGACATTCCTCACGTTAAAGAAAGCTTCAATTAAAAGTCAGTGAGGTCCACTTAAAGAAATCTTTCTAAAGCAAAGACCCAGAATAGACTGTCCATGTATGAATTCTCTTTTAGTGAAAATAATGCTCGTTTTCTTCTCTCACCATATTGGTTTGTCAGGCCTGTACCTCTTCGTGGGCTGGCAGCTCCTCTCTGCAGAAAGAAGCAGAGGGAAACCCGAGCCAAACATGGGAATTACCATAAATGCTAAAAAAAAAAAGCTGCTTCCTAAAATGAAATACTGTAAATGTGGGAAAACTTGCACTGCAGAAAATAAATTATCATAAGTTGTAGAAGAGCGGCGCAGCTAAAAAATTAATTATTACAATTGCTAGAAGAGCTGCACAGCCTAGAATGAAAGGCTGTAAATGCTGAAAAAGCTGTGCTGCCTAAAATCAACTAATGTAACTTTTAGAAAAGCTGAGGCGCCTAAAATGATTTACCATAAACGCTGGAAAAGCTGTGCTGCATACAATGAATGCTATGGGTTGTGTTGCAAAAGTTGACCACATAATGAAAAGTTTTGCTGCTATAAGTTAATTACTATTAATCCTTTAAACTGTGTTGCCTAAAATGAATGACCATAAATCATAGTACAGTAGTCCCTTGCTTCCTTGCGCTTCGTTTTTCACGGACTCGCTCTATCGCGGTCTTTCAAAATAAGATTGTGCATGACACACAATTGGCTGATTGATGGAATGGCATGGAATTTTTATTTAAAATAAATTATTTTAAATTATTTAGCACCGGATGCACAATTGTGCAGCCCAGAGCTGCAGAAAAAGCTTCCTCCTGCACCATTATGCAGCTCATACCTCTGGATACTGCACATGATCAGCTGATCTCCGTGCAGAGTGGAGAAGTGGGCGTGGCCAAGAGCACTTGCAGGTGGCAAAGAGCAGAGGAGGCAGGGAGCTGAAATCATGACATCCTGTGCTCTTTTAGAGGTTTAGAGTTTAGAAACATTGTTTAGAATATTGCAAGAGTGTGGGAAGGGTTTAAAACACCATATATATATGTATTCTAAAATAAACTACTACTTACTACTTGTACTACCATTCCTACTTTGCGGTTTTTCACTTATCACGGGGCTTCAGGATACGGATCCCCTGTGAAAAACGATGAACTACTGTATAGCTGAGCCTCTTAAAACGAATCAGTAATTGTTAGCAGAGCTATGCAATCTAAAATAAATTACAGTGATTGTGGGGAAAAGCTGGGCTGTTTGACATAAATTACTGTAAATTGTCGAAAAGGCCCAAATAAGGCGTCTTTTGGGTCCAGATCTGGACCCCGGTCCGCTATTTGAGGACCTGGACTTAGGTCAGCTCACTATACAGTAAGTGTATATATTTGCACTGACTGTATAGATTCAAACAGAAATAAATTGTTACATTAAGTCGTGAAATGACCTTTGAACTTACCTGAAGAGTTCCAGGTGACCTTTCAGGGTCCGCATCAGGCTGTTTCTGGCAGCTTTGCTCTGAACTGGTGTATTTCCTCTCATCTGTCACTACCAAGAAGGACAAAAAAAATAGTTGTTGTTTTTTTTTTGGGTGGTGGGGGGTCATTTACACATTAGACTTCTCATGCCTGTAAGAGTAAAAAAGCAGCTCCGAAGGCCTGCCGTGACATTCTTTATTTTAGCTGCAGGATTTCTTTAACTTTACGGACTCAATCTCTGGCGAAGCTCTAAAAACTAAATTACTGAAGCAGCAACAAATCTCTGTAATCTGCAAAAAAAGGATGAATCGTTGATGAGGCGAGGAGTTACGAGTATAAATACGTTCTGCTCATTTCTAACAACAGAGGTGTGTAATAATACCAGTAGTTCCCCGGGGCGACGCTGCGGAGTCCCTCTCAGCGCTGCTGCTCTGTGTTTTCTTCTTGCTGAGTTGTCTCTGGAGTTTGATATTTGCTATGATCGCTGCTGCATTGAGAGCAAGCACTTCCTCTTGAGACTGATGGGGATCTGAAACGCAGGATGAGCTTTCGTTTGGCTGCTCTGCACAAACCGTTCTGCATCCCAGTTCATTCTGTGGCTGACTGTCAAACGCCTCTGGCCTTATAATTAATTGATGGCACTCCTAATGAATGTGATTAGAGCGTAATTATTAATTTCACGCAGAGAAAAGCGATAATAAATGAAAAGGCACACATGTTCAGTGGAAAACTGCCTCCAAATTTTTCTCGCTCACCTAAACACTTTTCCAACGTTAGCTCGTTTTTGCTATTTAACGTGATCAAAACGCATGAGAGGGATTTCTGAATAAGTTCTTTTCAGTCGTGTAGACTTAACTTGCTGTGCTCCTATGGATGGCAAGTGATAATGAAATACCCTGCGCGTGCGCTCAATTCTCTGTCTGTTAGCAAAATATTTCAAGATCCAGTCGGCACGTTTTAATGAAACTCACAGAAAATAATAACTGGATGGACATGTACAACTCGTGAAGTTTTGGAGTCGAGACAACTCAAGATGGCTGCTACAGTTAATAAAACTTATCAGACACAAAAATGGCTATAATTCAGTCGATTTTATAGCTTTTGAGTTAAAATTTGGCACGATGGTAGCTGAGAGTCATCCCCATTTCATATACAAAGCATTAATAGAATATGTGATTATTTTTGCTTAAAATGTTAGCAAAATATCTCATGAACTATATGACTAGTTAATCTATTTACCTGTTTTAGCTGAAAGCACTTTTATGCTTTAAGTTCAAATCCCTTCACATCCTGCTTTAAAAATGGTCTCACAAGAACAATTTGGATTACGTTTAATCTCAGCCTGACAGACCTCAGATCGGTCTCACACGAATTCAAACCACCACGTTCACATCCTGCCAAGAGAATCGAAGGTATACCCTTCTAGCAGCTTCAGTACAAACCTCTCACACGTTCTCATTTTAGTCTCTAAAGATCACCCTTTCATTCTGCTTCACCGCTCTGCAGAGTACCAGCTCACGTAAAGAATGGAGTCATCAATAAAACATATCAAGTCTGGGCACATGAAGCTGGAGCAGCTCTGAGGAGGTGTTTTGTAGGAAAAAGCTGGCATTGCATTGGTAAAATCGCTGCGGTGAAGCACGTGCAGCAGCTGAGGGTTGGATAATATCCCTCTCCATTCATAACCTCCTCACCCTGCTGCGGGCTGGGAGCTATTGAAACATTCGGTGTCACATAGCAAGAGAGAGAGCTGAATTCAAAATCCACAGACTTACATGTTTTGAAATGTTTATCACTTGTAGATGTGTATGTCTTGTGCATCCAAATTACTTTCTGAGACTTCAGTTAAAATCCGTCCACTTGTTTGAGATATTTTGCTAACACTAAAGATGCAAACGTGAGCAAAAACATTATCCCCTTTCACTTTGAGCAGTGGGCAAAAATAAAAATTTGAATCTTGGCTCCAAATCACTATCAACTCCCATTTATGCCACTACCTCCCTAAAAAAAACTGCACTCCATAAACTATACAGCAAAGAAAAGCACACAAACGTGTCTGACGCACAGTAGGATGCAGAATCGCTGTAACTCGCCCAGATATTTTACTTTTTATCACTTGTTTCAGAGTGTGATTTCTCTCCTCTGCTCTGAAAGTTAAAATGGAGACCGGGATGAATTATGTATGCAAACGGATGCGTGGGACAAATGAAAGGAGGTGAAAATGAGAAACCCTGTCTGTGCTGTGGACCTTTTCACACTCATGTCACTTGATATTGGAACACATCTGGAACATTGGTGTGAACTGCAACAAATACAAGAATTATGATGCTTGACGTTAAAACCTCAAAGCTGGAGAACCATATAAAACCTACCATTGTGGGTAATAACTTAAGTTTTGAAGGCACAAATGTATAAAGGCAGAATATATTTAGATGTTGCAGTCCTTTGAAAATAGAGATCAGAGACAGACGGAGCCTGTTTGTTGACAAGAAGACTGTCGGGGTGGGACAGAGATGCTTACCCGGGGTCTTGATGAGTGTTAGACTTGGGGATGCTCTTCTCATTCCATCCACTGATGGAAGCCTTCTCTCCTTTTCGTCTCTGCCTGGGTTGAGGGTGTCTGCCACAGGCTGACCTGCTTCTTTTGCTGCTTTTTCAAGGCTGATGAAACCACTGTTGAAGTTCACAGGGTTGATATGGGTCTCCTGTGGAAGCTCGAGGCTCCATTTCCTGGCAGCTGAATGGGCAGCAGTGTCCCTGCTCGCCTCGGTGTGTCCAATCAAACCGCCAAAGCAGCTCACTGGTCTCTGCAGCCTGCTCGATCTCGGTCTGACAACCTTTGCAGAAACCTCAGAGGAAGAGGGTGGTGCAGCAGGGGGATTGCTTACAAAAAGATTCATAGAAGATCTGTGTATACCATAGGTTTTTGCGTTGGGGGTGAATGTATTTGAGTTTGGCGCAGAATTCAAACGAAGATAGGGAAGGGCTGTATTGCCTTCTGAAACGTTTTTCTGATTCCATGTACGTAGATTGTCCTGAGACAGTCCCTCAGTGTAACTGTGTCTGTACTCTAGATTTCTGGTGGCAAGCTTGGCTGGACTGTATCTTTCCCTATGCTCTGTTACTTTGATGATGGTGGCCTTTCTTCTGCGGACCACTGCATCCAAACCATGACTGGCTGGTGGCATCCTGGGCTGACTTGCGCTTGAACCGGGGTTTGATAACACTCGTTTCTCTGTCACCTTGACTATCGTGGCTTTTTTTTGCACCGTTACCTGTGGGGAGTTTGGCTCCATGGGTTTGCGGTCTAGTGGAGGAGAAGGAGATTTGCTGGTTGAGTTGAATCCAGGTAAACTGTTTGATCTGCTCACTTTTCTTGAGATGATGGTGATGGAGGAGATGCCAGGTTTGTTTTGAGGTATGAAAGTGGTCAGAGTTGAATTTGCTTGTGAAGATTCAGAACTATTGCCTGATCCATAGAAAGCAGTTGCTTTCATAGGCTGAACATTTGTTCTTTGCAATGTAGTCTGTGACTTGTGTGCGTTGGTGGTTCTGGTCCCCGGTAGCAGAGTCTGATGATTGCTTGGATCAGCAGAAGTTGTATAGTGCTGAGGTGAATGCTTGAGGGGCTTGGTCCCGATTGTTTTAATCAGAGGTGTCTTCTTGGGGTCTGCGTTGGTTTCTGTGGTGAGCTCATTGTATTTGTTGCCTTCAAGAAAAGCTGACACACCGGTGGCCCTCCAGTCTGTCTGCAGAGGTTGCCAGCCAACACGTCGGCTCCCGTCCTCAGCAGGAAAGTTCTTTTTTTCTAGCACCTACAGCATATAGGCAAAAAAAACCTCGATGTGACAAGAACCTTTAAAGTAATTAGTACCTGATGTATGAAGAAAAAGGCAGAAGATTTCCTACAGGCTAGGCTAATGGCTAGACAAACAAGGACCTGTTTTACATTGTATTTCAAAGTTATAAAGCAACGTTTGCCACAAAAATGTCATTATTAACCTTTGTTCAACCAGGGAAATCCCAGTGAGATCACAGATCTTTTTGCAAGGGAGGCCTGGGCCTGAAGGCAGCCTAGCATGCATGTTTTTGGTCATATCTGTTACCAAATATTAGCTAATGTATTGGTCTTTTACACCTTTGTGTCACTTAAAAAAGTTTTATAAGCCTAAAATTTGATATAAAATAGCTAGCCATTAGTGGCCATTAGTTAGCCATTAGCCTAGTCTCAGTGAAGACCCTTGCCCTTTCCTTTGGTGTTCTGTGACACATTCCTCTAAAGTAGCAAATACAAGTACTATGGACGAGATGGTGTAGAGGCAGGGCAGCTGACTCGGGACCTAAAGGTCCTGGGTTCAATCCCCAGTCATTGCATATCTTGTTGCGTCTCTGAGCAGGACACCCCATCCCCGGGTGCTCCCAATAGCCGCCCACTGCTCCACCTGGTGGTGGATGGGTTAAATGCAGAGAGCTAATTTCGCCATTGTATGGGGAAAATAAAATGATGACAATACATACACATTACTTATTTTTATTACTGAAATTTGTCCTAATTTGAAATGACATTAAGTCTTGGCAGTATGACATATCTCTATGACAGCATTTCAACTCCAGGTTAGCTGTCTCTTCTTTTCTGCAGGGTTAGTTTGTTCTGGTGTCAGCTGACTCTCCCCATGCTTGACACAGTGACTGCCCCGGTAGCAGTGGAGGCAGCAGCAGGCAGAGCCAGCACACGGCGTGACTTATCCCTCCCAGAATAACAATGAGACCCTATCCTTCATAGATACTGAGCGGCAAAAAGCAAAGATCCTGGTCCTGGAGCGAATGGATTCTGATGGTGTTTAAAGAGCGAGTAAAAACACTAATACATCTATGTCTGGAAGATCAAAGGGTTTATGATGTTACATACAGCCGCTTCTCAATCTCTAATTCTTGCCTGCCGACGAAGGCGAAGGGATAATGTTTTTGATTGTGCTATTTACTAAATATCTCAGGAAACTTTGAACAAATTGTATCAAACTCAGGAAAGTCATCCCGTAGTTGATATCTACAACTGATTAACTCTTGGCTCAACCACATTCAAGATGGCAGCAACAGCAAATCAATCTTAGCAAACGCATAAATGGCTCTAACTCGCTCAAATTGAAAAGTATTTAACTAAAGTTTTGTGTGGTAGTAGCCGAGCATCGTCCACTCCACATACTTTGAGTCTAATGCATTGTGTGATATCTTCACTTTAAGCTTTGGCTTGACCACTTTGAGTCAACCCAGTTTGTCTGTTAGTAAAATATCTCACGAACCACTGAACAAATGTTAATGAAACTGTCAGAAAGTAGTTACTGGCTGTACACATACAACTTATTAACATTTGAAGTCAAGTCAATGTAAGATGGCTGCCACCACCGTCTGACCTTAGTCTATACACAAATGGTGGTATCTTAGTGAATTTGACAAATACTGAGCTTAGATTTGGTGTGGTAGTAGCCGACAGTCATTGATAAGTAACACAAGTACTAGTTAACATATAACATGAGATCATACAGGATTTCGGAATGTAGAATGTGATTTTGATGTAATTTTGGTCGGGTAATGTGCATTCCTTTAAGGAATGCTAGGCCTTTAATTAATATCAGCTTCAAAAATTATGTAAGTAATACAGTATGTCACCAAATAGTCTTTTTTTTTCAATTTTACAAATACTGTTTACATAATTGTATTGCATCGGTCAGTTTCCAGCAGCCCTGCCACAGATTGTTTTTAAACTTGGAGAAGTGGAGCGAGAGAAACTGTTCAATTGTGAAGTCCCTGTCTCCGATGGCACTTCAGACCCAACAGCATGTTAGAAGTGTTATGGAAAATGTCATGGTGCCAGTCAGTCCAGAAACCCAGGAGGAGTGAGGTCAGGTTTTAGAAAACACAAAAAACAACCACAAAAAAAAATCTATTTTATTACAACAAGCAGGCCAGGATCTAAAAGAAAATGCAAAAACATGGCTGTCATGGACTGCAAATTATATTTCAGATCCACAGCTACTGTGAGTGGTGACCTCTAAAGCAACAGTTGTCCTTGTACAAGGCTTTGTACCAGACTTCATGGCAACAAGCGGTGCGTTACACCCCATACACAGATTAGCTGTTCCTAAACAAGGGTTACCTCGTGCACTGACGCTCCTGATGGAGGCTTCGCTACATAAACAAGGAATGACCTCTAACACTTGCTTAACTCCTAAAAATCCCCTCAAGATACAGACATTTCACTGAAATCAGCATAGATGAAATCAGCTTGAACATAGATTATCAGAATTATGATGAGCTAATTAACATGAGCAGCAAAGTCAACCAATAAGATTGAAAAAAAAAAAATAAAGCTAGCTTATTTACATAAAACAAGGTGCATCGACTCAGCTTCCCTTAATGACTATTACATCATGCACTGTTTTGCTTTAATGGTGGATTATCCTCTCATGAAAATGTTTATATTTTCTCATTTCTGGACCACTAGGCAAAGTTTAATAAAGTTTGAAGAGTCATGACTGGATGTACATCTACAACTGATTAACTTTTGCCATCAATCCATTTCAAGATGGCTGCCACAGCTAATCTACAATATCACAAAAAGCTGCTGTAATTCAGTCAGATTACAGATATTGGGCTAAAATGAATGTGGTAGAAGGTGCGGTGAGATCTGCAGGTTGATGTCAGCATCAACCCTGTTTTTCTGTTAGCAAAATGTCCCTTGAATTAAATGGATTTTAACAGAAGGACGGACGGACGGACGGATGAATGGATAGACTTTGAAACAATCGGTCAAAATTGAGTCTTTCCTTTTTTTAAATAGTAGCTTTTAATGCAACTTATATTTATTCCGTTTGAGAATTATGGCACAAACGGTCCAGAAGTAAATTAACATGGAAACTAAACGCGATGAATTTTTGTCCTGACGCGTCAGGTCCTCTGAACGAGTTCTTTTTTGTTGAAACGTTTCATCTTTTATCCAAAAGACTTGTTCAGTCTGAGGAGCTGGATCAAGCTCAGCCTCAGACTGACGAAGTCTTTGGATAAAAGACAAAACGTTTCAACAAAGAACACGTCCAGAGGACCTGACTCAACCTTAGACCATGAACTTTTGTTGTTTATTATTTGTTTGAAGCCAAGTTAAACTCCATTGTGAGGGCCGTTTCCTTTCCCATTTCAACAAAACCCTCAACAACCTAGCTCCATCTTACATTAGAGATCTTAGTTTCCCATATTTTCCTAACAGAGCACTTCACTCTCAGACTATAGGCTTACTTGTGGTTCCTAGAGTTTCCAAAAGCAGAATGGGAGGAAGATCTTTCAGTTATCAGATTCCTACATTGTCCAGTTTTAAGGCTGGGCTTAAGACTTTCCTTCTTGATAAATCCTATAGTTAGGGTTGACTTATGCTGCTATAGGCTTAGACTACTGGAGGAAAAAAATGACCATATTTCTTATAAAATTTTTTTGCAACTGAATGGTTTTCATTTGAAATTACTTCTATTTTAACGTGATTCTCGACCTGCCATTGTGTATCTGTTCCTACCAAACCCAGCCGATCAAAGCAGATGGCCACTTGTCCTGAGCCTTGTTCTGCTAAAGGTTTCTTCCTCATGAGGGAGTTTTTCCTTTCCACTGTCGCCTTCATGCTTGTTCAAGATGAGAGTTTGTGATGAAGTTAAACTCAAAGCAGTCTGCTCCTCAGATGAATAATGTTATTGACTTTTTATATGCATGAATGTTTCTGTTCGGTGCCCTGAGACGACTTCTGTTGTAACTTGGCGCTATAGAAATAAACTGAATTGAATTTCTCAGCATCCTGCCAAGCCAACATTAAAACAAGCATTTAGAACCACTGGCCCTGTAATAGACATAATTTCCTCACGTCGTTCAGACGAGTACTGGAAGTATTGTCGACTGTTGCGAGTGTTAGAAGTACCAAGCATCTCTCAGATCCACTAACATTTCTTATAATAAACCTTTGTTAAGCTTCTCTCTGGTGCTCAGAGTTAAAAAAAAAAATCATCCATAAATTACCTCCGTGCTGTCAGCGAAGCCTCGGTCAGGTGTCCACCACATCTTCACGCCCAAGGAACTCGGACTGGAATGACCTTTCCTCGCTGCCGCATCTGTGTTTCGAGGCAAAACAAGTGCACCTCTCTCACAAAACACGTTCTCTCTCTGTTTTCATCTTTGACAAACGCACACCTCCAGAAATACTCGCAAACTGTTGACACTGTCAATAATTGAGACTGGTTATGTAAAAAAGTGGGTCAAGCACCACCCCAGAGTCACTTGTCTGCTTCTTCAGGAGACTTGACTGGTGACTGATCTGCTCCGTAGCCACCCTGGCTGTGTTTCCACCTGCTGCTGTTACCATGGTGACAGGCTCTCACTTTGGGATGACCCCCCCTGATTGCTTTGCGGGTTAATCGGTGGCGTTTTCCGTTTTAAGGGTGAGAATGAGAAATAAGCTGAAACTTGCACCACTTTGCCAGCATGATTACAGCCGTAAATTATACTGTAAATTGAGGGCTCTTACGGATAACTTTCTCTCTTTTCTTTTTCTTTTATTCACCTGCTGACATCACTATATTTAACAAATCCCTCTTATGCTTCTAATCCTGTCTTAAGCACGTGTAAACATGGTGAAAATCAGCCACCCTGCCAAAAACACGCAGAAACTTGACATGCATGATTCAATTACTCGTCACATTCTCATTAACATCAGGCCACTTCATGTTCGCTAAATATAGCTTCTTTTGAAGGCAACTGTCCTTGACGTGACCTTGAGTTTGATTAAAGCTTTCTCTGTCAGGCTTTTCAGCAAGAAACTGGAAAAGAAAACTTAAAAAGGAGATTGTTTTTCAAAAACGGTCAGTTCTCAATGATCCAGGTTGAGGGGGAGCTGTGGATTTGCAAAAAACGTGGAATTAGCCCCCAAAAAAACCTAAAATAAGCATAAACTGCTAAATATTAGCTGACATAGTAGAAAAAGCTGAAACTTACATAAATAAGCTGAAATTAGCAGAAAGAAGTTAGAAGCACAAAAATGTAGTTGGCAGAAAGAATCCAAAAGGATCATAAAACAGCTGAAAGTAGCTGAAAAAAGTTATACATTTGCACAAGGAAGCTGAAAGAAGCTGAAGCAGAACAAAATGTGAAAGGAGCAACAAAAGGTTGTAAACAAATCTAAAGATTTGAAGGATGTAAAATGAGCTCAATTCATTTTCTATGGGAAAAGATGGGAAAAGGCTAAATATTTCAAAAAGCTAAAGTAGCACCAATATCAAAAGTCATAGCACCTTTCTCGTGAACAAGCTGAATGTTTTAATATATGATTTGTTGAAATAGCACAAAAATTGTGGAACGAGGAAGACGCTGAAAAACGTACAGAAGAAAAATGGATCACAATAGTGTGAACGCTTCATAAACATTCACACTATTAAACCATGATTTTTATGCAGTCTTAGAAAAATACATATAATTTTTGAACTTAGTAACTACCTAAAATCTTTTCTATTTGTGTTCTAATCCCTCTCCTCAGCCTGTAAATGTAGCTTTAGCAGCTGAGGGTGTTCTTGGTGCTGTATAGACGTATGTCTTTGGTTTGTGTAAGCAGCCGAGTGCTGTCAGGATAATCTATGTAGAAACAAGGACGAGGCTGAAGATCAAGTTTCAGATCAAACCCAGAGAGTGCAGCGCCGCCGTGTTCAAAGATTAACAAGACTCCTTCTCCAATCAGTCCGCATCTTCGCTTATCGTTCTGCCACTTGCCTCCATCCCCCATCCTACCTCTCTTTTTGTCAGCTTAGGGAGTTCCTCTATTTCACCCCGGCACTGCCAAAAATCCCATGTCAGAGCAGTCAGAGTGGTGCACACAAAAAGGTGTATGTGTGAATGTTTATGAAGCGGTCACACTATTGTGATCCATTTTTCTTCTGTACGTTTTTCGACATCTTTCTCGTTCCATAATTTTTTTAAGCTATTTCAACAAATCATGTATCGAAACATTCAGCACATTCAGGAGAAGGGAGCTATGACTTTTGGTATTGGTGCAACTTTAGCTTTTTGAAATATTTAGCCTTTTCTGTCACCTTTTTCCCTCATAGAAAATGAATTGAGCTCATTTTACATCCTTCGAAATCTTTAGATGTGTTTACAACCTTTTACTGCTCCTTTCACGTTTTGTTCTGCTTCAGCTTCTTTCAGCTTCCTTGTGCAAATTTTAAGTTTTTTTCCAGCTGCTTTCAGCTAATTTCAGCTGTTTTGTGCTCCTTTCAGATTCTTTCTGCTAACTTCAACATTTTTGTGCTTCTTCTAGCTTGTTTCTGCTAATTTTAGCGTATTTATGCAAGTTTAAGCATTTTCTGATATTTCAGCTACTATTTAGTGGTTTTATGCAAATTTTTGATTTTTTTTAGCTAATTCCACAGTATTTGCACTCATTTCAATTTTTTTTTGCCTAATTCAGCAAAAATGTGCTCACTCCACTCCCTTCTTATAATTTAAGCTTCTTTCTGCCTTTTTAGCTACTTTTCAGCAGGTTTTTTTGGTGCTAATTTCAGCTTTTTCAGGTAATTTCCACTTTTTTGTGCTCATTTCTGCTTCTTTCAGCATAATTGTGCAAACGTGTTAGTTCTGTTTTCTTCTGCTAATTTAAGCTTGCTCTACATTTCCAGTTACCCTTTTACCATTTTAGCTAATTTCAGCTGTTTTCAGATAAATTCAAAATTTTGCGGTAATGTCTGCTCCTTTCAGACAAATTAACTTTTCTGCTAATTTCAGCTTGTTATGCTCATTTGAGCTTTCTTCTGCTAGTTTCAGCATTTTCTGCTATTTCAGCTACTATTTACCGGTAGCTGTTTTTACACTGATTTTAGCTTTTTCAGTTAATTTCTTTTTTTTAAATTAATTAATTTAGCTCATTTCAGCTCTTTCTGCTTCTTTCTGGTTGTTTAAACTTTTTTCTACCTTTTCAGCTACTTTTCAGCTGTTTTTTTGTTGTTGCTAATTTCAGCCTTTTTTCAGCTAATTTTCAAAATTTTGTGCTAATTTCAGCCTATTTTATCAGAATTCAGCAAATATGTGTTCTTTCTGCTTTCTTCTGCTACTTTAGGCCTGTTCTTCCAATTCAGCTACAATTTAGCTAATTTCAGCTGTTTTTCTGCAAATTCTGCAGCAATAAGCATTCACACTGCTTTTTCGCAGAAAATGCAATTTCTCTAGTTTATTTTGTTGTATTTATTTCTTTGTTTTGGGCTGTTGTTTCATACCATCAGGCAATGAGTCAGTGTGTCAGAAGACGGAGACAACAGCGCTGGCAGGAGCTGATTAGAGGCAGGTACAGTGTGCAGCAAGTGGACCCAGAAGTAAGTTCTTGTTCTCCCTCCGTCAGGTCCGGAGCCTGCAGGGAGGCCGTGGTGGCAGTTGGTACCACACCGATCAAGATTCAAACATCAAGTGAAACAGAAGCATTTTGGGCTATTTCTACTGCAAAACAAAGATTTTTAATGTTTATCGCTCGCAGCTGAAAGGCAAAAGCAGATGATAATGTTCAAACCCGTGTGTGTGTCTGTTAGCAAAATTTCTCACAAACCACTGGGCAATTTTTAATGAAACTTTCAGGTAATCACTAGAAAAACCTCCACAACTGATTAACTTTTGGATAGAACCCTATACAAGATGGCCGCCACAGCCAAATGTCTGAAACACAAAAATTACTACAATTCAGTTTTTTTTAATACGTATTGTGTTTGTTGAATCATTCACACATATACTGAGTGCTACTGACTGTATGCTATTCACTAAAACTGTAGCAATGTATGTTTGAGTCAACCCTGTTTGTCTGTTAGCAAAATATATCATGAGCCCTTGAACAGATTTGAACAAAAATATCAGACAGTAATCATTGCATGTACATTAACAACTCAATAACTTTGCAGGTCAGTAGAATTCAAGATGGCTGTCACAGCTAAGCAAAATGACCCAACACACAAATGTCAAAAATGGATGGATGGATAGATAGATAGATGCACACATACTCTGAGATCTGGGTGTTCCCTCAATCCTTTTAAATGTTGGAGTGATTGGTTCTTTCAATTTCACCTGGAAAGATAAAAAAAAACCAGCTTAAAACATCAGTTTGCACTGATTTATCATTAATTGTTTAGTCAAAACGATCAGGTTCTGAAACAATTAAAGGTGCAACTTTGGCAGTTGTTAATATAGCGTTACTGTTGAGTCATCTTTTATTAAAAAAATAAAACGTCTTCCACACACGTTGTGCTGTTTTCAAAATGATCAGGTGGATCAGGAATAGCATGCTATGACTGTTTATTTAGAACATTTAATTACATTGAAAATTAAATTTACCATTAAAACTCACTGAGATCTCCTCAGCTCCCTTAAAATTTATGTTCTATGTAAAATCTGATCCAGATAAATTTTTTTCTTCTCTTTTTTAGTTTTCTTATGTTACTGCTTTGCTGCTTTTAGCTGTAGTGTTGTTACATTTTGGGCATTGTTCTGCTCCTTTTAGCTTATAATTACTGTTCTGATGTGTTTAGCTTTTAGCTACTTTTTGCTGCTTCTAGCAAATAGGCAGGGCCGGCCCAAGGCATAAGCAAACTAAGCGGCTGCTTAGGGCCCCGGGGCCACTAGCCATAGTGAACGATCTGATCATCTGACTGTTGATCGCAGCAATCCACATTATTAGCAGAAATAGAGGGCCCCAAACCAAATTTGGCTTAGGACCCCATGGAGGCTTGCTAATGCTAATAAGTACTGCTATTCTGCTTTTAGTTTTCATTTAACAGCTTAGTTTGAGCTTCCTCAGCAAGTTTCAGAAAATTTGTAATCACACAGCATTCATTTTTTTAATTTATAGTTATGAAAGATTCATATAAGAATATGTGACCTCATATCTATGTTGTGTGAGAACGTATGGGCGCAGATCACAGCAACATATTGATAGTTGGGACATATTATCAGCTAACTTTGTAACGCTGTAATCCCCCTGAACTGTTTTAGTACATCGTCTTGCATCCTCTCAGGGCACAAAGCTCTAAAGCTTTCGAGAGAGCACAAAGTTCCTGCAGAGTAGGCTGTTTTCTAAAGATGCTGGAGTTCTGCCTTCTCCCTTGGTAACTGATGTCTACAAGTGGCTGTCTGGCACTGTTTTTTTTTTTTTTACTACCCTTTTGTACCATCATCCTCGCCACACGACATAACTTTAGAGCTGCAGAGCTCGCGCTGTCTCACTCAAAAACCAAACGTGGGAATCAAAATGACACAACCTGAAGGGAGGTCAGTTGCAAGATACGTCAAAGACTGTGACGCTTTTTGAAAGACTCAAAAGTTGTAACTTTGAAACATGTC